TTTTGGGCATACTAATTCGTTTTGCAAAATCTTTATAAACTCAAGCTGCTGCCTACAATGTCGGTCGCGTCCCTACGCGTCGTTCTTGCAGGTTAACCTTAAAAATAGACATATAGCGTCCCGTATAAGAGGAATCTTCCTTTCATACATATTTTTAGATGTCTTGAACCGATTTCGCAGCGTACGCAATGGAAACCACGAGAAAATTTCTTCCGTTTTGTTTACATTTCACGCTGTATCTTCTATTCTGCTTCTATTTGATACAGGACATTGTATTGCCTAGGCATGATAGCTTTCCTTGATACATGCCTAACACAAAAAAAAACGAACCCGTAGTTTCTGACATTAGCGCGTTCAATTAAACAAACAAACTCTTCAGCTTTATATATTAGTATAGATATAGACAAATCTTAATATAAAAATGCCTTAAGGCTTGATAAAATTACAAAAATATTCGCTATAAAGTTATTTCATCCATTCATCATTAATCTTTGCTTACATCTGTCAAACCGCCCCTGTAACTGCGTCTGTCATCCGATGGGGTGATAAACTGCTTCTCTGCGGCGATGGAAGAGAATCAGAGAGATCACCATGCCCTACGGGGGAATTTTTTTCCCATATAAAACGGTATTTATCATTTTTGAAGTAACTAAGTTTGAAAAAAAATAAAAATAAATACTGCTAAATCGTGTGGTAATTAAGAGTAACTTAAACACTTTAACGGCCGGCGAAACTGGCCGGGTCCTTACAGAATTGATTAACGGTGTCTTCACGTTTGCCGGTATGCTGTTTATTGGGATCCAGAGTTTTTAATATGGGATCCCAGGTGTTTGATAACTTGAGGCCCTCCTCCCTATTGAGCATCTGAAACGTCGGGCCGAAGTTAGAAATCATTTTCAAATAAGTTTAACTAATATTTTTAAACCGTTAAAGTTTGTTTTATTTAAATGTGTACTACTCGCGAAAACTATAGAGAGTATTTAAGAAGAAACTGTTTAATTAATATGACACATACATCACAGTTTAATTTTTTAATAAATTTAACGTTCCCTTCTGTTTCTAAGACGTAAGATTTTTCTAACGATGTTTATTATTTTACTTATTGGTTCTTCATTGCGTAAAAATAATAATTTTGCTAATAAGACTTGTAGGCTAGACTGGAGTTCAATGAGCGGCCTAATCGCTAACAAGCGATCTCTTTCAGGCAAATTGTTTTCCCTCATATACTATTTATTAATATTTTCCGTAGGCTCCAAGTTTCAAGGTTCCCGCCGCATTAAATTATTTAAATGCCGGTACTTTTTTTTAATTACGTCTACCCACTTAATGTTTATTAATACGATAATGCTACTGGTAGCGTTTAATACAAGTAAATACCGGATTGAGATTGTGTACGTGGGAAACGTAGTTAAAAGGTGGACGACTAAGCGGCGCCGGCGCCGACCAAACTGACATTTACACGGGACCTTGCGCGAAGCAATTTGCGAACAATACACGTGCGCGTGTCACACATTCCCGGAACCCGATCCTCGACTCCGGAGTGACCTCCACCACGGCCTCAGACACATTCGAACCACTCCCCATTACTTACGTGCTTTTCAGCTACGACACGTTGGTTCTGCCTACATGCAAAGTTCTCTTCATTTTTTTTATTTAATCATTCATGTAAAATATAACTACTCGCTGAGGAATAAAAGAAAATTTAGATATTTAAATATTGCCTGTAGTTTAAATAAATCACTTTAACGTTATTAAACGCGATATATATTCGTTAAACTTATTTTACGGCCCACTATGTTTTAGAAACACCCCCCATCTTTAGTCTCCCCGTGACCACGGCTACTGCAAAGCATCCGACATGTCCAGCCATAGTTAAAATAATTTTCAAATAGGTTTAAATACTAAATGTCGTGTTTTAAACCGTTAAAGTGTTTTATTTAAACTTAGATATTTATAAAATTCACACTATAATTCTTAAAACTATGTTTAATAAACAATATCGGATAAGTTAACTAAAAGAAGAACTTAGTGATACGGTTTCCAGTTTAACTTGCGAATAAGCAATCTCCTGCAAGTCCTCGATAAACAAACTTTAACGAGCCTGCCTTTAAAGATGATGTAAAAATGAAATTCGACACCGCTCAATTTTCGCGTAAATTAATCGCCATCACAAAACCACATCTTTATTGAACACACATGGCGTACTATTGCGTCTTTTTCCAATCGAATTTCGCCATCGCTGATAGCTTTAAATGTTTTATCATTATTTAAAATGTCCCCAACGTTATCGTATCAATGGGACATATCTAAAAGCCTGTCTCAAAATATGCATTAGTTGTAGCGTTTGATGAATGAGACATTAGCGAAGAAAGTATTCGCGCTTCGCCCACGAAACTGTTTCGCTATGTTGCCCAACTGGTAGTTCCCACAAGTGCGTCACTCTTAGGTAACAATCTGCCGGATCTGCGGGCTCATTAAGCGAAAAAAAGATCATATCGCAAACAATAGAGCACTCGGCGACCGAAAGTGATAGTCTAATAGATATTAAAGATGACGATAGTGAAATGGTCCAAGAATGCCAAGTCATTTTTTACCTGGCTCTTCACAACTCGACCATAATGACTAGCTCTTCCATGTTAATTAAAGCTCGGGCGATTGCTGATAATAATTACACGTATTTGAAGGCGGTTGCAACATCTTTACAAAGCTTTAAATTAAAGCAACAATTTGAAACTTAAAGTAGGAATGTGGTTTTAATACCTCCAAGATACAATAGTGATTAAACACTTGTTTGATCAACATGTATGTAATAGAAAATAATATCTTATTTGAAAGAAGGAGGTCCAGAATTAGGTATGATAACTTCTTTTGTAAATGATCATTTGTCTAGACCTGGAATTGAACGTCTGGACCTTGTGATCTTTAGTCGAGGAAAGTAAATCTCAAAAGAAACAAGGCAATTTGTTAGAATGAGATGATTTTAGGCAGTCGAGGAAGTTGTCTAAAGTTCTTAAAACATATAACAAAGATGATTTAGCTCTGGTACAGCACAACAAGTAAAAACAAAGTTACATAGAAGCAAGGTAGGAACAGCCCAACACGAACTGCAAACATAAAGCCGCTGTCAAAATTGCAGCTATTTACAATACATCATGCGGAGGCAGTGACTGCGTCGTTCTGGTTTGCGGTTCTTTGACAAATGAAGCTGTTGGAGCCGGAGAATGTAATGTATGATGACTTCGCGGCTACCGTACGACCCGGAACGCGTCGGCTGACACCTCACGTACGCTACCGTTGCAAACAACGCCCTGAGAATTACCAATTTACGAAACCAAAACGCTTCTATTGTACACCTTTAGCTCCGAGACAAACATATTATGTTCAGAGTTATTAAGATGGTTGCAAGTTACAGGTAAGACTGCAGCTTACATAAACTCGATGTACAAATGCAGCTTAAACTTAAGTTCCAAAAGTTATCACTGAACTTAAATAAATCACTATTCAAGGGTGGTTAAAGCATTCAAGACTTTTTTTTAGAGTAGGACAGTCAACTATGGGATTGATGTTTGGTCATATACCCTAGCCTATAACATATAACATTTAAACTAGATGTACTGTCGACCTATTTTGGCTTTGGATATTCGGTAGACTGCAACCGAAACGCGACTAAGCTACACTGGTATACTGTCTATAGTTTACGCGAGTAGTACACATTTAAATAAAACACTTTAACGGTTTAAAACGTGATATAGTTAAACTTATTTGAAAATTATTTTTAACCTTAACCTTAAATTGTTCAAAATTAATTTTCAAATAAGTTTAACTAATATATCGCGTTTTAAACCGTTAAAGTGTTTTATTTAAATCTACACAGGTATTTCATCTGTGTTCGTGATTCGTGACCCGGTCGGAATTTCTATATTCCTACCACCCATTTAATATCCAGATTTCCAGACGAAGTCCAACATGTTTCAGAAAAAATATAGATTAAATAATTACAAACATTTTGGACTCGAAAGGAAACGAACCCACGACCCCTGTTTATTAGCCATACATTGCTATCATTAGAGCAACGAGCCCCGTCACAGTCGTCGTGTAGTATTTTAAAAATTATAATCTTGCATATTTTAAACTGTTATAATGCATACCACTCACGTTAACTACATATACATAACCCTGAACTGTAATAAAAATAGAGGAATTGTACGATCAGCGGTAAACAAAGACCCCGATAGTAGATCTACAGTTGAACCGAGCCGCATTAATACAAACATAAGGCATTTACATACTACAGGGTCCTGCCAGATGAATCGCACAGATATGCGAGGGTTTTAAATGAAATAAATGGAACTGTTAATGTAAGTACAACACCCACGGAACCCGGAAGGTGTTTATGAGTCGAGTTCTAGCCACGGAATTCTGTTTATCATTTATGCTAATTTTAATTTTCAGACCCGGCTCTGTGATGCCGTTTAATTTTGCAATGGTAATAATATTTACGGCTTATGAGACGTTAAGTACCTACGTATATTAAAGAGTGTCAATATTGTACAGTATTTATAAAAAAACCCGCTGTTCATCTTCCCAACTCAAATAAAGCGATTAACATTTTTTTAAGCATAGTCAGCGATACGTTACAAATTGAAGCTCTCATTTTGGGAGATAGTAAAAGCAAAATTTAATATTTTTCAGAATTCATACAGTAATGAAAGTTCAGTACAGTTCAGTAAAGTTTAATAGAACCTAACTGTCAATGTATGAAATAAGTTCGTCTTAATAATATATACATTTCACAAATATAAAATAAAACTCAACATAATTTACTGTCTGTCTCTTCAGATACCTACAACTTAATAGATATACCCAATAATATAGTTACTTGTTGCAACACAAGCGATCACCTTGCGCACATGCGCAGTTACCCGCATCGATTTTTCTCACTTTTGACAGTTCAATCTATGTTTTGGGCTACCACCCGCGTCTTCACAAAGTAAACAATTATGGCTTTAGATTTTTCAGCCACGTACAAGTTATTGGTGTTAGGCGATTCTAATGTTGGCAAAACGTGCATTGTGCATAGATACTGTGACGAAAGATATTACGATATTTATATTTCGACAATAGGTGAGTAAAACGTTTATTTCTTATTTTATTACCCTTTGTGACTGAGATGCAGTTAGGAACTCTGTTATAACTAAATACTATTGTTGCTGATACTAAAGAACAATGTGCTTACGTAGAACAATAACATTTATGTGTAATTTAAATTATCGAATATCCGGGTTTATTTTATGTATGGTATATTCAAGTCTGTCAAAGAAGAAAACATCTTAACGACGACAAATTTTACGATATTAATATATATTAAATTTAATAAATTTCATTGTGTATTTATTTGCATATGCGTAGAGATTGTAGCAAATCACTGTAATATATTTTATTCAACATTTTAAAAGAATCTTGAAAAATGTTATTAGAAAAATGGAGAATTCATTTCTAGAATGAAGTATTAAGATTTGGGGATTTTTTATTTATTATGCAGTCTTTGCGAAACATTGCTTAGGAATGATTCTAGATATAGAATATCACTGTATAACAAATCCAAGCGTAACATGGCGCAGGTTATTAAACTTTTATATTCACATTTTAGAACTTATCGTCTAGCTGCTCGGTTGCAGACGGTCAGGGACATTTGTTACTGCATCAAATATAATATAAAAACTCAATGAGGCCGTCGAAAACTTTTAGAGCATAATCACTATTAATACTACATTGGACAGATGCAATATCGATGCAATTATTTTAATATTAATAACATATTTGGCTTTTTCGTATAGTTATTAATCTATCTTGACACTGATCGTACTATTACAGTCACGTTGCACTAAATTCAAACAAAACGTACCCTTATTAAAAATATGATATATTTGGCAATTATACTGTTAAAATTTTAAATCTTCTATCTGCTCTCGGTCTTTTTTTTATGATAGACGACGACAGACAATCAAGAGGCTCACTCGATGGTAGGAGAAATACTCAAGCCATATAGGGCTTTGGAAATCAACAGACTGAAACCGAAACGCGATTGAATCTCACGGCTGTTTTGTCTGTAAGCGGTGATTTCTGAACTGGACGGGATTTTGATATTTTTACCATCCTTAAACGGGAGGTATCTAGATTTCCAAACGAATTCCAACACCTTATAGAAAAGTAATACATTATGTAGTTTAAACGTGTTGGACATGGTGGGCATCGAACCGACTAGCCGTTGATTATTAGATCAGTACAGTTTGATCAAACTTGACTTTATAAAAAAGCTTTAAGGTTGTAAATATATAAATACATATTGTCTATGATTGGCTGTTACAGGTATAGATTTCAAGCAGAAAATAATTAATTTGGACGGAGTACCCATTAAACTACAAATATGGGATACAGCGGGGCAAGAGAGATTCAGGACCCTCACAACTGCGTATTACAGAGGCGCAATGGGAATCATTCTCATGTACGATATAACTAACTTGGAGTCCTTCAACCATCTTTCTTACTGGCTGAGAAATATTCAAGAAGTAAGTATTGTTCGCTCATGTTATTTTGCACATCTAATAAGATTTTGATTTATACGTTACAATAAATTTATAACCTTTGATGTCATATTATATGTGTGACCAGTGTCAGCGACTTTGTTGGGGTAGAATACTTACTTAAATTTAAGCTGTTATCCACAACGTCACTCGCGCCCCGTCGTTCTTGCCAGTTATTCTTCGTCGCGGACATTTTTTTTAGATCTTATAAGATCTAGAGGAATCATTTTTTTTCATTATTTCGTACACGAACCGTTTTGCAGCGTATGCATTAGAAGCCCACAAAGATGAATAGTTCTCCCCGTTTCCACATTTACCGCTATTTCTCCGCTCCTATTAATCACACCACAATGTTGTATAGCTAATAACCTTCTTCGATAGATTCTTCACACAGAAGAATTGTTAAAGTCGATTAAGTGTTTCTTGAGATAAGCGCCTTTAAAGAAACAAACAAAAAACTCTTTAGCTTTATATATTAGTATAGGTAGTGATAACATAGCGCTAGACTAACGCGTTATATTTTTTTTTAAATTACCCTTGTGAAAATTAATAGCAATGTTTTTGAAAATTGCATTTATTCGAACTTTACATAAAAAATTCACAGCCTGTGAGAGCTAGAATATAAATTGAGCTACCTCACGTTAACGGCCATTAAATTGCAAATCTATATAATAATTAACGTATAGGTACAATGTTTAAAATTACACACATGACTTAAATGTAATTATGTGCTTTTCAGTACGCCTCGCCCGATGTGATCAAAGTCCTCGTAGGAAATAAATGTGACGTACATGAAAACCACAGAGCTGTGCCAAGAGAAAGGGGACAGAAGGTAAACTAATTTGGATTTTTTATATAAAAGAGGAGGACAGATAAACTTGATGGCAGGTAAAATATCCCAGCCGTATAAACACTCAACACGTTGCGCCGTTGTCCAAAAGTTCTATAAAGCAATGCTAAAAACTTTTTATCGGGCTCGACGCCCAAAACCCAAAAAAAGCAACCATGACAACGTAATAAATATTTTATTGTAGAAGTAATTTGTTATGACTAACTACAACCGTAAAAAAACAAAAACTTACATTAATTCCAAAATATCATTTAAAACAAGACCCTGTTTGAAACCGTAATTAATAATGATTATCCCGTCATGCTTTACAGATAGCCGACGATTTTGATATGCCATTTTTTGAAGTATCCTGCAAGAACAACGTTAATATAGAAGAAGCGTTCCTTACTTTAGCACGAAAAATAAGGGAATACAGAGATTCTAAGGTGGGAAAAGCATTACATCTATGTTATATAAATAAAAATTAAAACTATATTAATAGTCTTACGCAAATTACAAGTCCTACTATATTCATTATTTTATAATTCGATTATAATATTTTACTTACTCACTAAATACTTTACAACTTTCTACCGCCTCTGTAGCCTAATGGTTAAACGTATTACCTAGCATTGCGTTAAGCGCGACAGGTCCTGGGTTCCAATCCCGTGGAAACAGTAAATTATTTAGGTCGGGCAGGGTATATAAGTCTGAACAACTACTTGCCTGTTAAAGAACTGATCAGTGAAACGGAAACAAAATGTGTTCGCCCCATGCCCCACGAGGAGGAAACGAGAATTTCACATACATAAATACTTTAAAGTGGAGTATAAAGTTGTTCGTCGTTAATTTACCCAATCACACATAAAGCCTGGTTGGAAGCAAAACTTACAAGCAAAAACTATCAAGAGGCTTATTAAGAATAATGTAGATAGTATGTTATATGTTAGAATACCAGACAGTCAAATATTTCTCTTTCCAGGCGGATGCTTTTGAGTTAAAAGAAAGAGACAACGTTATCAACCCTTCAGAATCTGAAACAGATGAATCGAAATGCAGCTGTTAAAGGCACTTAGTTAATTGTCTTGTCAAAAAGCGGTGTTTATAAGGAACATAGGAATAAAAGAACGAAAGGATTACTGTAACGTTTTTATAGCAAATATTAGCTCTAGTTTATAGGTAGGTACTACTAAGAGTTATTTCTTATTACTAACCAGAATTGAAATAATTTGTTTCGAATAATAAATGTTTTCGAACTGTGTATTTGCTAAGAGCTAAAACGCATTGTAGTGTGTATGCTATTAAATATTTCCCAGGATCTTCAAAATTTGTGCGTAAAATGCGGCAAATTTGAGAAGCGCAACTAATGACACATAATATAATGTTAATGTTTTTTTTTATACACAATATAATGGAATATGGTTTAACAAATTATATTAATTTTGATATTTGCGAAACGTGAAAATGATATTTCTCATACAAAATATTAAATTAATATTAAAACCAGAATCTAGACTAGAAGTGTCATCAATATTAATTAAGCGAAGGCCTAGGTGGCTTAAGGCTTTAAATGTATACAGCCTACGCAATGCTCACCACAGGATTACATTTTGAATTAATATTAGGTCTCAGAAAAGATTTTATACAACCTGCGTAATAAGTGAAACTAGTAAGGGATTGTAAACCTATCATAGTATTAATTCAAAATTAACTTCTGCGCAATTAGATTAATTGAAAATGCACTTTTACGAATTTAAATAATTTAATAGTGTAGTAGCATGTAACGAAGTATAACCAAACCTCGGTATTCTATTACAAAGCGTAGAAAACGGATAAGTTATCTATCACATAAATTTGTGATGTTTGTTAATCTCTAGTAGACTTAAAAATTCTATTTATACTTGAGAATAAGTTATATTTTACTTGATTTTGAATTTCAAATAAAAAAAAGGAGTCAATTTTTTAATACTCGCCACCATTCTTAACAATTTCCTAAAAAAATGTTTCATTTTGCATTTCTATGGTATATAATTTAATTTCAGCTGTAGTAAACATCAGTATTATAATGTATGTAAGAGAATGGGTTGGGAAACAATCAAATAATAATATTTTATATTCCAGCACACCTGGAATAAAATACAGTTAAAAGTAATGTAAAATAAATTTTTATTACTATCCTTCTTTTATTTTAAAACTACGAAAATAAATACAAATTCATATTATACCTAAAAAAGTATAATTTAAAAATAACTGTAAAGTGTTACATAATACATTAGAAAAGGCATTCTATTGCATACTACTGCATACAATATAAGGTTTATTATGTTGGCAAAACTATCAAAATTCATCTATATTAAAAACTATTGGTCACCTTAATAAATTGTAATAATGGTAAATAAATAAAATATAATTACTAAATAACTATGGACTAGATTCAAATGTTAAGTCTGATTTTTCTTCTTTTTACGGGCAGTGCTGACTGTGGTTCAATTTTAATATGTTCCTCTTTAATTTCAACCTTAGGAATAACGGGATCATTTTCTATTACCTGTGATGTAGGCTCAGACTTGATATCTCTTTTACTGAAAAAGAAAATAAAAGTAAATTATTGGTTAAAAATAATGTATTCAAAAGTTTCTAAAAATTAAGTAACTATAAATTTCATTTAAACTTATCAATAATTATAAAACTTGTATAACTTTTTAGCCGATTATTCTGTTGAAAACAAAAAAGTTTTGTTTAGTCAACCTGAATAATACGCAAACATATTAGTTAACTTATTTCAATTACTGCCCGATTTTTTGGATCCTCTGTACCAGCCATGGTCATGGGGGACCAAAATTGGAGGGTCCCAATCACCACTTGTCAGCCATGACAGCAGCTACGCTAAGGCCGTCATTAAAATAAACTAATAATAAGCTAACTAATATATTTTACGTTTCAAACTGTTAAAAGTGTTCTATTCAATTAAATTATTATATGTATTCATCCATTCTATGTGTCATTCATATGATACATATTACATTGATGCTTATAACTAAAGTTGGTAGTACTTACACCATGGTTTCTTTAGGTATATCCACAGATTTATCTAATAAACCATCTGGTATCGTAGCAGAGCCGAAATAATTATCATACCTATAATGCTTTTCCATATGAGCTTTATCATTGAATGGTTTTGTTTTCAGGTATCCTGTAATTCATGTTATTTTTAAGTAATTTAAAAATTGTAATTTTAATATATATTGATTTAACAATTATTTTATCAGCCCCCTTTAAAATCCCTGTAACTAGGATATAGGTTTTCTTTGTGTGTTGGCATTACATGTCATGGCAGGCAAAAACATGTCAAATATGTTTGGCTTCAGGTGCCTACACCTAATTTCTTAGCATGTGTTTCTACTCCCAAGCATGTCTGACGAATGTACGTGAGAAATATTTTGGGAGTATGTTTGAGGACGAACATGGATGAACTTTAGAATCCATGTCTTGTGTCCTGTTATCAGAACTTTACAATCCATGTTTACTGGGATGTGTGCTGATAACAGGCTAGTAGACACGGATTGTAAAGTTCTGATTCCATACACAATTGGCTGCTGGGGCTTTCGACTACTATTTGGCCGTCATATTTACGAAATAATTTTTGATGTTCCACTGTGACAAGACAATACACTTGGGATGGCAAAGTTGTGTGATGGATGAATACCTTGAAAACCCAAGTAGCTCTGCAAAATGGCCATAAAATGCATGGTTTTAGATAAACTTACTTAGACAAATTTCTCCAGCTTCTAATTTATACTCTTCTATCTCTTTATCTTTATTTTTTAAAATGGACCGTAATTCACTCTCACTACTATGTAGATCTTGTATTGTTTTTAGTAATGGCTGTATTATTTTCTGGAAGAACTGATAAGAAGTAAATGTGATTATTCCATTCATATTATTTCCATTTTCACTATACAAAAAACATACAAGAATTAATACTTTGGGCAATTTGTTAATAAATAATATATTGATACCCAAAACAGAATATTTTACCATCCATACCACCATGACCATGGCCAATAATATGGTATACAACTATAAGGAGAACCAACACTTCATTGACATATACCCTGGACCTTCTCCCCATTTTGTCTCAGCAAAACTTGAGTCTAAGTCTTGTTATACTCCTTTAACAATAAAACCAAAACATACCAATTCCTGAGAACCAATTGACAATAGGACTTTAAATTTAAGGGGATATCCAAATGATTTACACAGTGTGACTTCTAATTTATCCTCTTTATTTGAAACGGTGGCACTTTTGAGCTCTTCTGGATATAACAACATATGGATACCATTTTCAATCAATTCATTGGAATGTATTTCTAAACCTAAATTGCTTTCCTGAAAATAGGAAAATTTTTTCAGAAAATAGAGGGATTCAAGCGATAGCGATATATAGAAAACCTATTAATGCAGTATACCTACTTTTAGATGGCTAGTAAATTCATCCAGGTTCAAACGAACAATCCAGATTTTGACATAATCTGTTATAGAGATTTCAAAATATTCATCTTTAATAAATAACAAATAATAAGGTAAAGCTTTATGTAAGTTTTTCCACATTTCGAATAAAAACAACAATATTTACAAAATTATAAAATGAAATTTGAAGTTTTTACTGTGACATTGACAGCTTAAAGGCTAAATGACAATTGACTTGTACTAGAGACGAGTTACCGAAGAAATCAGAAAGTTGGAGATATAATCTATTCCGGTATTTATTAAGATAAAAACGAATATTCAATACACGACATCAATTCTCATCCGTAGTTAAATTTATGTGAAACGACAGCAGACTGTTCTCATGATTTTCAATTACTTATATAACCTGCTCGACAGTCATTTTTAGTTTTCACTGTAACATTGTTTAAAAATACAAAAATATATTATACTAATATAGTATTATTTCTAGCAAAAATAACAAAAATAGCGTTTTTAACAATTGAAGTATTTTAACTGAGCTTTGGCAGGCGTTTTTACTGAATGCTGTTTAAACATATTTTTATGTTTGTGATTGGAATAGATAAATTTCTATATGTTTTTGATTCTTGCCTGGGAAAAGATGCTTAACGCGATGTTTAAATCTATAATATAAAATAGTTTAAAATGAAAGATTTTAAACCATTGACTCTTGACTGAAACATTTCATTACCACACCGATAAATGTGTTTTTCGTATTAAGAAACATCTGTGTCTCTTAATACGAAAATAGCATAGTGATCTTAAGCCTAGCTTTAAGCGTTTAGAAATCTTATAAATATCTAGAATTTTAAAGAGATAACAAAATATGTTCATTACTATAATATCTAATAAAGATGTGTTGAAATTGTATTATCTAAATTTAATTAACGAAGAGCTTCATATTACATATTAACAAAGCGTTATTGTATAATTATTGATGAGACAAAATTACCTTACACAGGAATTCTCTTTGATATGACGAGAATAATAAATAACGCTTTAATGAACAAGCTTGGGGCCATAACGTGTTATAAGATGTAATAAAAAGCCTGAGTTAGGTAATAATTTTCGTTTAAAATTGGAACTAAATTTTTAATAAACTTCGGCTCCAAGTCCGTAGAAGGATAATTTTCACGTGATAGCTATGATTCATAAAAAAATCAACTAACTGACTATTTGAAAAAGAAACAGAGTGTTTTTATTGAGAAATGTTAAGAGTTAATTAGCAGAGATATGTAGAAATATAACTATGCAGCTAAATATAGTTAACAGAACTAGGGGAAGCAAAATAAATAAGGTTAATTTATAGTCCCTTTGAAACGTGAGTATCGTATTAATTTGCCATGGCTCGTTGACCGAGTTAAGATCATGCCATAATATTATTTCAGTTCATTCGTTAACACCACCAGTACCCAAAAGGTTTTCTGAAAGATTTGTAACTCTCTTTTGAATTTTATAGAAATGCGAGCTTTTAATTTCACTGATTGTTAATTTATTTTACAATTTGTCTAGTTTTGCGTAGTTTACGCGGGTAGTATACATTTAATTAATACACTTTAACGGTTTCAAACGCGATACATATTACATAAACTTATTTGAAAATAATTTTAACTGCGGCCCGACGTTTAGAATGCATTGCAGCAGCCGTGGTCACGGGGAGACTAAAGATGGAGGGTGTGTCTGAAGTCAAAAAAACTGCTACGCTAGCGCCATCAGTTCCGTTAAACTTAGTATTTGGCACAACTGGCCGGGTCCTTGCAGAATTGACGAAGACACCTATCTTCGCGTTTTCTGGTTGCTGGATTCCAAAAAACTGTTTATTTCTATTTTCAAGTAAGTTCACCTAATATATACATCGCGTATTAAGTGTTTTACTATAATAAATACTTAATAACATGTGCGTATTTAGACATTCTACCTAGTACAATTAGTCCATAGATTAATTTACAGTCTATTTGTAATGTAATTATCACACTATCAATATATTGCAATAATCGATAATCACTTTACATGATTATACTCAAACCATTATATCTTTGATCAACCTGTATGTGTACTTAAATTTGATCATCTCGACCTTGAAGTGCATTTAAAAATTGTTTGTGAGTTTGAAATTGCCGCCATTCGAGCAATGCACGTTAAGAATTTGCTCTACAAAAATAAGAAGTTTTAGTGAACTGCAATGGAATTTAATAATATTTTCAACAATCAGCTTCTCTATAATAATTCATCAGGTAAATTTGACTTTTAACTAGTTACATTCATTTTAGCAGTTATGGATAAACTATCTGTGTTACTAATATATAAAGCTGAACAGTTGGTTAGTTTGAATGCGCTAATCTAAGGAACTACTGGTTGAAATATTTTGTGTTGGTTAGAACATGTATCAAGGAAGGCTATAAAAGATCGCGCTGCGACTAATAGGAGTGGAGAAACAGAAGAAAATGTGGAAAAAAAGAGGAAAATTAATTATACTTGTGGGTGTCCGTTGCGTACGCTACAAAAGCGGTTCTAGATATACCCAAAAAAATATGAAAGGAATTTCTCTTTAAATGTTATTAAAAAAAAATCCGCGAGCCTAGGGATATTTTATGATTAACTAACAACAACGATGGGACGCGAACGACATCGTGGGTAACGGCGTAAATTTGTAGAGCGTTGATTTGGTCCTAAATATTTTTTAGGAAATAGGAAATATACAAATTTTCCCGATACGTATAAGTACACCTCCTTCGCAATGGCCGTCTCTTTAATATATCCAAATCCGAAGCGACGGAGATTTCGACTGATTGCTATCTGTGAGTATATTTATGTAAAATTATTAATAATAATATGATTGTATATTGGACTTTTTAGCATTTATTACAGTATATGATTAAATACACAACCTACATACTTTTTAAAGAAAGTAATAAAAAGATCGCGATAAATTAAGAAAAAGATAAACTAAATACTGTCTGTAGTTTACCCGAGTACTACACATTTAAATAAAAAACTTTAACGATTTAAAACGCGATATGTATTAGTTAAACTTATTTGGGAATAATTTTTAATTTCGGCCCGACGTTTTGGTTGCTTTGCAGAAGGGAAGGAGTTCGGGTCTCTGTGTAATATATATATCGCGTTTTAAACCGTGAAAGTGTTTTATTTAAAAAATATAAACTATATTATGTTACTATACATTATATTATTACTATAACATGTTTTGTTAATTTGTCTCGTAAACTGTTACCGTAATTTTTATTAAAACAGTACACTTTACAGGTTTAATTACATTATCAGTTATTCCTATATCTTTTCTTATTACGTACGATGTGTACAGATATATACTGGATTTTGATATCAAAAATATCATCCAACAAACAAATTTATTCGGGCCATTTCTTGCCATATTTTTAAAGATAAGTATAATATTTGTAAAAAGCCTTAGAAGTTTACTTTTCTTGTCTTTTTCGAAACTTGTTATATATACTATAAATATGGTTTATTGAGCAAAAATATCTTTCCTTGTTTACTAGTCGACGAAATGTCAACAAATAATTACCTGAAAGCAGACTAGGACCAAGTTATAAGTAATTAAATATAATAATTCTTGTTTTTTTGTCTAATCGCCAATTATCTCCCACTTGCTGTACCATTATATAGAAATCAAATATGTTTTTCTACTACTAGCATGATATTTGTTATATATTTGTGATCTATATATTGTTTTAGTTGCGTCAGGAAGTTTTATAAAACAATTCTTTTGCTAAAGAATAAGCTAACTCCAATATTGTGTTTATTCAAAATCGCTTATAATCTTTAATTTTACAGACGATACTGCAGAATTACAACGAAGAGCTAGCCATGGGGATAATTACTGAAATTGACCGCGATTATAAACTGTACAATAAATTGCCAGCTCGTTACCAAAATATTATAGACGAGAGCATCAAGAACAACTTAATTTATAGCGAAAGAGGTTGGATAGCCACTGTGCTATCTGTCGTCCTAATGTTCCCCATCATGGCTACTGTCTTAACAGTCTACAGTCACTTATTCCAGTCTGAACCTCAAAGGGTCATGGTGCACGATGTTAGGACCCCATATGGAGACGATAATGATAGATTTAACTCGCCATACTACGAATTAATGTTTATCTATATGTTGTATTGCTGTCTTTTATATATCATGAACTTTATCGGGTACGATGGATTCTTTGGTTTATCGGTCAATCACGCTTGCTTGAAAATGAAGATTTATTGCAAGATGTTCGAAGACGCGCTTAGAGGAGACGAATGCGGTCTACATAGACGGATTGTCGAAGTGATCAAGGAACAGAACAGGCTATTTAAGTTGGTTATTATTATAGAAGTGTAGAGAAGGATATTCGAGGCCTATTTTGTAGCTTTATTTTTTATTTAATGATAGAGAAGGACAGAATAGCATGGCCTTTAGCATCTAGGAAAGTTGCCGCCTTGACTTATTTTCTTGGAATATTCAAATCCACGGACTGAAACTGAAACGCTTTAAAGCTTCACGGCTTTTTCATCTGTGGACGGTAGTTCGTGACCCGGACGGAATTGCTATATCCTACCCACCTTCCATTTAATATCCAGATTTTCAGACGAATTCAAACATGTTTCAGAAAAATTAGAAATTGAAAAATTAGAAATCTGTTGGTCCCGGTGGGCATAGAACCCACGACCCGTTGATTGTTAGCGCTGCCACTATTAGACAAACGAGCCCGTCAAACAAAAAAAACTTTCTGTTACATAAAAATACTATGTTTCTTTATAATAACATTTGTGACTAAAAAGTACTACAGAGTAGCAAATATGTAAGTCGTCTATTGTTTACGTGAGTAGTACACATTAAAATAAAACACTTTAACGGTTTAAAACGTGATATATTAGTTAAACTTATGAGAAAATGATTTTTAAATTCGGCCCGACGTTTCGGATGCTTTGCAGCTGCAAAGTTTTATTTAAATATGTATAGAATTCTTCTTGTTACACAGCTACAGTAACGAATATATAATAATGTGACGATCACTTGCCGAGTCTTATACAATTCAAAACCAACCTAACATTTTTTTACTTTAACTATTATCAAGTAACCCAAAAATGTTTAGTGTAAAAAGCGTTTTTTTTTTTAGATTTGTAAACCACATCCAGGAGGTTTTTAACGCTTGGTTGGGTGTTATTCTGGTTGCAACCATGATCCAAATTTGCAACTGCATGTACACATTAACTGATGTAAATAATCTTATATATTATTTAGTTACGTATAACAATATCATATAACATTCACACTAACGATCTGCATACCTATGAATATAATATCGAGATTAGTTTGGTTAAATTAATCGGTATTAAGGAAAATAGAGCGAAATCAAGTTGCTAATTGAAGTTTCCGCAGTTGACTTAAATCGTCGTCAAAGCTGTGTTAAATTAGTTGAGCTTTGGGGTAGTGGTTATGTACGCTCGACTTATTTTGAGGGTTCAATTTGATTCTCAGTTGTACAAGAAAATATTTTATTTTGCAAATTATAAGTAGTCTAATGTAAGTCCAGAAACATGTGTTCCCAGCGGTAGGACCTGCAAAAGGATTGAATTTTGCCTATTTAATAAAATTCATATCAAAACATTTCAAGAGATTCTTCAAATTTTTAAAGTACTAGATGACCTAGCAAGTGTTGAAAGTACAAGCGTTGTAGATGCAGGTTCAAGTCCCGCCCTTTTCGTATTTTTGATTTTTTAAATTAAAATCGATCTTAATTTATATAAGGCATATGCAAATAATATGTAAAAATATTAAACTTACAAACAGTAGTTATGGACATTCATTACCAACAAACTCCACACACACACAAAAACTATTTATATATTAATGTGAATTTCTTTTCAGGGTTCCGGCTTTGATCTGAAATACATAATATTCATCATTGGTGCCGTTGTACATATCTTTTTACCTTGTCTATATTCTGCGAAGTTAAAGGACATGGTCAGAAAAAGTTTAATCATTGGATAATTATTTTAATTCAACAAAAATCATGTCTTTCGTCTTTTGCTTTGATTTTTTTTGTTTTTTGTCTAGGTTGCTAGCAACCTCATAAATCTTTGTAACTCTTTAATATTATTATTTATCAACTTATTTCGAACATTGTTTATATTCACATACATCTGGATTCGCGAGCGTCGAATTGCGGATTTGTTACACTTTGAAACTAAGGCGCATCATTATAAATCGTTGAATTTAGTCCGTAGAAACAGCGACGTTGATTTATTGTGGTGGTTGGGAGCGCACACACCGTACAGATATACGTAAAATGGTACAAATCATGATTGCTAGATCGCAGGTAAAACTTTTCTTCTAAGTTTTATGTCTTTGTAAGTTAGAGATTTGTTTTGATAAATAAGTAAGAATCTATAGGATAATCAACAACTACGGGTTCGAATTCGGGCGCGATTGACGTCGTGCGGAACAGCTTAAGTTTATAAAGATTGGTATAGGGGTATTAAGGGGTTTGCACAAACTTTATAAAAAATTATAGAATTTGATGACTTATATAAAAATAAATATTCTTTGCGGACAAAGTCGCTGCAACAGCTAGTATGAAATAAAATCAAACGCTTCCTTTGCCTTGTACATATTCTAGTACCATGAATATTCATAAAAATAATTTTCGTCACTCATTGGCCTTTATTTTTTAACTTAAATATTTAATTTAACTATTAACTTAAATATTTTGAACATTTGCAGGTACCCATGGAAATAGTAGCTTTTAACATTAAAGTTTTTGATATGGACTTGTTTGTGTCTGTAAGTTGCGTATTGTTTTCTCATTTAAATAAATGATCTCTTGTTTTTTACAATGCATATCATTTGTTTCAGATACTTCAAACGTCCTATTCAGTGTACACGTTACTACGTTCATAGATATAAAAAATTAAAATAATGTACTGTGTCTATAAATAATTAAAATTAGATATATATTGGTTTTATTAACACCTGACTGTATATTTCTTTATTACGTGGTTTAGTGTTATTGTGGTTAAAAATAGTATTTGTTATTGAATTATTGATGCTTTTGACAACCTCTATAGTTTACGCGAGTAGTACACATTTAAATAAAACACTTTAACGGTTTAAAACGGGCCCCGTGACCACGGCTCCTGCAAAACACCCCAAACGCCGGGGGGGGGCAGTAAAAATTTTCAAAAGTTAAAATATTGTTTAAACCAAAGTGTTTTATTTAAACTTACATAAAAATGAATTCTGAAACCTTAGAACGATACAGTGCAAAGGGCGTTCTTATCACATTTAGCTATTATAATTATTAAAAAACAATGAAAATATTCAGGCCACCTAAGTTATGTAACCGTTATAAGAATAGGTATTTTAATAGGGCCAGCCAAGCATGTTTTATTTGAGGGTGTTATAACCCAGCCATATAACATCTAAATAAAATGCACTGTGGACCTATTTCGGCTTAGAATATTAATTGGAAATACACACGATTAAAAAGATTTTGCGTTCTATTTGCCAATAATTTACCGATAATATATGTATGACCTCAGTAGCCAAATGGTTAAACTAGCCTAGCATTCTAAGCGCGGGAGTACTGTATAAGGAAGCAAAAATGTGTTCCGAACGGGCAGGGCCCAGAAGTCTGACCAATGATTGCTGAAAAGAAGGATCTGGAAATGGATACACAAAAACTGGAAATGGGTTACACTATACCTACGTTTTGTTCTTTTTTAACTTTGCAACCGTTCCCTAATTGTAAACTAAAGCCCGAGTATAGGTTATGATTGACGTTTTCAATTGTGGTTATGCTGTGTCGCAGATTCGCAATATAAGCCGCCCCAGCGCACTGTAGTTGGAATTGATTATGGCCCGACGCCAGTGCAGGGAAAACTCACTTACGAGACATTTACACGAATTTCAGTCCGAATCGATACCGAATTTGCCGCGTAAGTAATTGAATGGCCATTTGCTCTCACTTCATTCGGAAAGAGCCTCATAACGTTATAGAAAACTGATGTTCGGAGCGACTATTTACTTGAGTTTGTACACATTGGAGAAAATATTTTATACTAGTTTTGACGGCGACTTCGTACGCGTAGAATAGTTTTGCAAACCTCCCCCTTATCTTTAAGAATTTAAGCTGTTACTCACGGCGTCGGTCGCGACCCGTCGTTCTTGAAAGTTAATATTAAAATCCAGACATATAGTGCTGCGGACACTTTTTACCTTCTTTAAAGAGGAATAATTCTTTCAGAAACATTTTTCGGGCTCTTGAACCGTTTTTTGCAGCGTACGGATGGGAAACCCACAAAGATTAATTCTCCCCGTATTTTCCACATTTCGCGCTGTCTCTTCGCTCCTATCAGTAACACAGTGTTTAAATAGCCTATAGCTTCCTCGTAAATGATTTTTCAATTCGACCACGTAGTTCCTGAAATTAGCGCGTTTAAGCAAACAAACTTTTTAGCTCTATAAGTTAGTATAGATAAGAAAGAAGAAACAGTATTAAATCTTTAAATATACATTATATATATATATATATATTCATTTTGATCACGTTTTAACAATATTACTTTGATAAATAGATTTTAGTTAAGCACTTATGAACGTATAGAAATATTTCATTAAATATTATTTCAAACATTGAAAAACCCACCACGCGCCTCGGTTCTGTGTGGATGGGTTTATGGCGGATGTTATAATGAAGGGGACCGACGGCTTACCATGCCTTCAATTCGTCTATAAGGGCGGTAACACCTGCTATTCGCTTTAGTGCTAGCTCTTAATATATATTTTTTTTCTATTACTTGTTGGTAGGCCTATAGCATCTAAACAAGATGCGCCATCAACCTATTTTGGATATTCGGAAATCCACAGACTGAAACCAAAAACCAACCTTTTTTCATCTGTGGTCGGTTGTTCGTGACCCGGAAGTATCCATTTAATATCCAGATTTAAAGACGAAGTCCAACATGTTTCAGAAAAATTCTAAATTGGAAAATTAGAAACATGTTATGTATAAATGTAACTAACATTAGGCCCCGTCAAAACATGTCCTATAGTTGTTTTGTTTGTATTAATAATTAATTAATAAACTACAGGAGCTACACAAGGAATGATGTATATAAGTATTTCAAAAAGCTTTTATTTCTTCTTTTATTACTGTAATTTTATGGTTTGAAAGAAAACAGAATGAAAGCAAACAGCGGTTGCTTCGGGAAATTGGCGACGGTCAACAAATCGTGCTTTCCTTTATTTACTATGGCATTTGTATGCGATTTCTAAGTATTTATTGTATTTTAAGACCAAAATGTTACTACGCTAGCTTAAGCTTTTATGATTGAAAA